CCACAACACCAACTTGAAACGAAATAAGTATCAATGGTATTTCTAATGGAGTGCCGTCATATGCATGTACGCATTCAGTGTGAATGCTAAAATATGGGGGCGGGATATTGGATGAACCGAGCTAGCGTTATTGCGATTAAGTACAAGTTTATATACCCATCGCAGGTACCAAATATCGTCGTTTTAACTCTCTCTAAACTACCTTTGCATTATTTCCCGATTTCAAACATTTTCGATAATATGCTGAGTTAGAATTAATGATATAATTGAACCAAGTTTGGTAGAAATCGATAAAGTGGTTACCGAGATACACATATGTGGTCATAAAGGCGCCATGCCCACTATCCAAAAATTTATAATAATCTAATTTTCTGCTAAGTGGTTATTGCAATCATCGATTTTAGCGGAATTATCTTTGATATTCAATGATTTCTCGTAGTTTTCGTGTTTCTGTAAATTACCGTTATATGGTAGGTGGGCGTGATCATTGCCCGATTTCAAACCCTGCAAAAATCCAATGACCGAGTCTCTAACACATGTGCAAAAATTTTTTGCTATCACAAATACACGTACAATACATGTGATGTGTTTCTCAAAAGAGAATAAACAATATCAGCCTCTTTTATTTTCATTGTATATCGTATTCACTCACACATGTGTATTGTATAGGGATGGTGGAATAAAGACAATTTTTAGAAGAAGAATAATTGTACAAAACAGACAAAACAGTGTTGCCGAATTCTCAAATCAAGTAATTTAATGTGAATGTTCTTTGCAATCTTTATTTTGTTTGGTTATTTTGTTATGTCCATAGTTAGAAATCGACTAAAATGAAATTTCTAATTTAAAATAAAATTTTCTTAGATATATGCACACTTCGATTTAAAGTTGGTCTACATTAAAAAGTAACCTCACGCAATTTTCTTAAAACTTCTTATATTTGAATAGTTTTTTTTTACTAGCTGGTAACCCTATCATATGTATGTACAACTTTTTGATGGAAGCCATCATTTTTCTCAATTTCATTTGACACGCGAAAAAAGAGGCTGCGAATAAAGTATCGCAATAAAAATAAATTTTCCCTGTATTTAATTATTTTTAAACAATTAAAAGTGGTCAGGGAGACTCAGCAGTGGAAGTTTGATTGCTTATACATATTTGAAGCGCTAAATCAAATTGAGGTAAGCAATAATGAAAAGAAAAACTTTTTATAAACTCATGGAGAAAGAAAAAAAGGAGTTTGAGCGTAGCTCCTTGATCTACTCAAAAATTTCCAAATTTGCCGAGGCAGATTTGGATGAAGGCAGCGTGCAAGTTGCAGAAGAACCTCACAGCAGTTTTGAGAGTTCTTCTTGCAAGGATGATAGTTTAGTTTTCACATCAACTCCGGAAAGTCTGTCCGATTCTTCTTCCTCTGAACCTTCCAGTATCGATAAATCCAGTGAAATAAAATTGTGGGCAATTAAAAATAATGTGTCACAAGTGGCGCTGAGTGATCTTCTGCGTACACTTAGAAAAATCGGTGTTTGTGACTTGCCTTTATCGGCAAAAGCACTTCTCGAAACCACTAAAAAATGTAAAGATATCCGAATGATTCCGGGCGGCGAATTTTTGTATTTAGGCATCCAGTCATATTTCGAGTCGAAACCCTTTAAATTTTTAGAATCCTGTAATGAAGTTTTAATCGACGTAGGAGTTGATGGTTTAAAGCTATTTAAAAACTCAAACAAAGTATTGTGGCCTATTCTAGGTAGTATAGTTGGTTACTCAAACGAAAGTCCATTTTTAATTGCTTCCTTTTCAGGAAAACAAAAACCTTTAAGTATAAATGACTTCATGAACGATTTTTGTGAGGAAGTTATTCATTTAAAACAAAATGGCTTAAAGGTTGGTTCATTTCCAACTTTAAAAAAATTTGATGTGCGAGTATTTATTTGCGACTCACCAGCGCGAGCTTTTGTTTCAGGAGTACAGGGCCATAATGGCAAAAATAGTTGTCCCAAATGTTGCCAGGTAGGGAAATATATAGAAAAGCGGGTATCCTTTTCAAAAGAGATAGGCAAGTTGCGAACTGACTTGTCTTTCAAAAACAAATCTGACCAGGCGCATCATAGTTCAAGTTCAAAGGGACAAGACAATGTGTTACAGGCAGCAGGCTTTAAAATGGTTTCACAATTCCCCCTAGACCCAATGCACCTTATTGATCTTGGCGTGGTAAAAAAGCTTTTGCAACTTTTAATGAAAAGAGCAAATATATCTGAGATTAACAAAAGATTAAATTTTATTTCTTCCTGGATCCCATCGGAATTCGGGAGAGTTTGTAGAGACCTTAATGAATTTAGTAATTGGAAATCGACAGAGTTCCGGCAATTTTTATTGTATTCCGGAATATTTGTGTTAAAAGATATTATTCCCGACGATTTGTTTTATCATTTTAGTTTACTACATGTTAGTATAAGAATTCTTTCGTGTAAAAAGTCTTACAAAAGCCAAACAAATGTTGTCCAAGAAATGCTAAATGAATTTGTTAATTTATTTGGAAACATATATGGCAATCATTTAATAAGTTTTAACGTGCATGGTTTGTTGCATTTACCTGCATGCGCTAGTGAAATAGGTCCCTTGGATGACTTTTCTGCTTACAGATTTGAGAATTACCTTCAAACTTTAAAAAAAATAATTAAAAAACCAACAAATATTTTACAACAGCTTTTCTTCCGCATTGAAGAAAGAAAACATTTAGAAATGAAAAAGGAGTCAACATATGATTCGTTTATCATAAATTGCTCAAAGCAAAAGGATTCTTTTTGCTTCAGTGAAACGAAAGGCCCCTTTAAAGTCATAAATATTTTAAAAGAATCAGGAAAAGATGTGCTAGTGGGTTACACGTTTCAAACAATAGAGAACTATTTCGAAGAACCTCTTGAATCGTATCCTGACCTTGGTATATTAGTTGGAAGTAGACTAAGTTTTGAGAAAATTAAAATTTTTCAGGAAGATATTAGATTTAAATATTTTTCCATCCCACTTAAAGAAAAATATCTTCTTATACCAATCCTTCACCGCCTATTTCATGAATTTTGTAATTAGATCTTTACTCTACTAATTATTTTTTTTTTTTTGCATGCGAAACGATGAAAACAATTTCAAGTAAATGATGGAAGATAGCGAGGAAATAATCGAAGCCACGGAGTATCTTTTTGAAAGCGATATGATGACAACATCAACTCCTAAAGAGTTAAGAGGTAAGCGATAAATTTTACCCAGAGTGACCAATCAGGATTAAAAATGTTAACTAAATATTTTTATTTTAGAACCAAAGGGTGCACTGCGCAAAAAATTTAAACTGTCTGTGGACTACAATAAACGATTTTCTGAAGCCTCTACTTCTCTCCCTTCACAAACTTGTAGAACTTCAAACGATGGTAAATTTGGCACTTCATTCAGACAAATACAAATGTATGTACATATGTATCTATCTACAGACATAATACAGGTACTGGAACTCATTCTTCAAAAACAAAACGATTTCGAGGCGCGGATGGACAGATTAGAGGAAAGGGTACGAAGAATTGATAACTAATAATTTATTTTGTTATAATGCATAATGCATGGCATGTTGCTTCGGCCGTTGCATCGTGTGTAGCATTGTTGGTCATTGAAATTCGTGTTGCCGCAACCGTCGCCTGAAAATCAAATTATTTTTATATTTTCTGTTGGTTGCCGAGTCGGTTGCTTCGTGTGTATCGTTGTGTATAGATTTTATTGGCTTAGTTCGTTGAAAACTAAATAATCTCAATATAAACTAAATATCTCAAATTAATTATTTATTCAAATATTTTTCAGATACCGGAAAAGCACGAAGTGATGGCTCAACACAAGGTGATGCGCGAGTCCAAAGTCTTGATTAAAAGGGTTCACAAGCTAGTGTGTCGCATAAGTGGCGAGGCTGAAAACGACATGCACACCGAGTTCGCTTCTTTGATGCCCTTCACCACAATTGAATCAATTTTTGATATGGAGGAAAAGTTGAAAGCAGCTGAATATGAAGAAGCTATGGTACGACTAACATTTTAAACTCTATGCCCAAAACTGAATTTTTATCTTTTTTTATTTAGAAAACATACTTATTTACCCTTAAAGGGACCTCTGGTGACATAGGCCCCGTTATGAAAAAAGTTTTCTGTGACGAAGTAATTTATAAATTTAACTGGGATGGCAGATGTGGAAAAAAGGCCCTAAGAAAGCTAAAACTGGTCCATGATGTTTTATTTGGTAAGCCTTGATAATTTGTTTTTGGGAAATGTATATACATACATGTGTACGAAATCTAATTTTTATCTTTTATAG